ATACTGCACCTCCAGGAAGTGTAAAGTGCTACTAGGCTACGCAAGCTTGTGTGTCAGACATGAAATCATGCCACTCATGCACCATATCAGGGGTAATTCTGACTGCAGATCAATGCAACTTCCCAGGGCTTAGCTGTGTGTCCCTGTGACACAACAAGTACACATATGCTGAAAACATGCGTGCCTGCATACACACAGACAGGATGGAAGAGCAAGAAGGATTCAACAAGGGAAGGCGAGAGACAGAATCAGAATCAATACACTATATCTTTCCCATTTACACCATTAACATTCCTTAAGTATCCTCTTACAATCGAGTCTCTCTCTCTCTCTCTCTCTCCCTCTCCCACACACAGGCTTGTCCTTCATCCTTCAGTTTGCCTGGTAAAAACTAAATCACTTGCCTAAACATCCAAAACAGAGAACATGTCAAATGTGGATTTGGTTTTAATTTATCAGATACAAACACTCACAAAACAAATACATGTTTCCAACTAAATAACCAAATACCAGCACTGGGAAAGGAAACCACAGCACTACCCAGGCCTAGCAGGCAGGTGTGCTTGATTAGGGAGGGAGGGCTCTGCATCACAACAGTATTACTGGACCATGAGTAAAAAGAATTAAAACTGGAAGTCGCCTTTGACTGTTTGCTCAGTGGCTAATATGAAGCAGATGTAAACACCGGAGCTTTGCACAGAGGAAAAGGACAACATGCCTGGAGAGTACCAGTTGTAAACAGAGGAATAACCTAGTTATCGGCTTTTGGTGAATGCAACCTTTTTTTTGGACTTTTCGCTTCAGGGTGTCTGTCCATATGCTACAGTCAAAACCAAACACAGTGAGCCAAGAGCTGATAAAGGAAAACAGTTTTAATGTTATCCACAGAATGTATTGAACAAGGTGAAGCAGATATCTCTTGGAAAAAGGTTTTAAACTTTGCGAAATGTATGGAGTTAAAATGAGTCGGCCTAAGGCGCCAACATCACAACAAAAGTAAATATTAAACCATGAAGGAATGGGTTTATTAAAAACAACATCATGGGAGCTGGAGCATAACATGATAAAAGTCTGAGCTATTTGCAACCCACTTCTACACACAGACACACATTTCAGTCTCTGTGGGATTATTATCAGATCTAATGCTAATTTGCGGACGTGAACGCATCAACACAACTCTTCAGTGCATCTTAATTTACATATCACGCAAAGCAGGGTATACACTCAGATGCTTTCAAAACAATGTCAAATGTGTGCCAAAGAAGTTTCCAGAGGGGGTGAGATAAATCAAAGTTGTAACCCCCATGCCATAGTGTGTGTGGGTGTGGGTGTGGAGAGACGGACAATCTGGGTCTACCTGTGATGTGTCCAGAAAAACGCTCTTTCTGAACTTCCCTCGCCGTATCTCCATTTCTAGGGCAGAGCCGCGGGCAACGGTGGCTCTTGCTGTTTGATTTCGGCAAAACATCGTCTCTGCTTTCTGGCAGCTTCACGCTACAGTCCTGTGTGTAACTCGTCTTAGCCGAGTTTAAAGTGGGCGTAAAGAGAGCAGACTGCCAAAGAGCCTCAGCGGCACAAAACGACCCCCCGCCGGAGAAAACTCCAGAGAAATTTAGGCAAACTCCCGAATAAAACACATGCGTTTGTTCTGAAGTGGCAGCAGAGGCTGAGAAAGTCCTTTCTCACGGTTAAAAACACAGACTTCTGACTGCAGTCCACTGTCTCAGCTGACCTTTCACTTTTCCCAACACTGCGTGCGCTTCTGCGTCCAACGGTGGCGCGCTGACACCCCGTGTGGTGCACATGAAGACCTAACTTTGCCCTGTGCTGTGTCCGGAGACCTCTACCGGCGATGAACGGCGAGTACTCTGCAGATGGTGCAATACCTCAGATTCCTGTTGGAGGCCTGCTTATGCAAATCATCCAGCAAGGACAGTTAAAGCACAATGCATGTGCACATGTGGGCGCCGCACTATTCCTTTTACCAACACTTGCCCTCCTAAATTATTTTATTTTGGCATAGAGGTTCACTTTCAAAATATACAAAATCTGGCCAAAAATGTAGGCTATTCAAAGGCAATGCATTGCAATGTATCTGTGATTTTACAAATTTCTAGATTAAATTATATTTCATATTAGTGCCACTAACATTTTTAAACTCATGTCTGTGTTTTGCCACTGTAACACTCCTAAATGATCTTTACACAGGTTGCCAAAGGACTATGATCTTCCTAGGGCTGGGGGGGGTCCTAGAAAGTCTCAGCCTCATGACACAAACCTCATACCAACACTACTTAGTTCTATAAAAAACATTTTATGGCTACCCTTGTATCATATGTGTGTGTTTGTCTGTTTATTCTACAAGTCTCTGCTTCACTGAGTGATGCTTTGTCTTACCTGGTTCAAAGTCCAAACTTGTTCCTTGGTGATGCCTTGGGTAGTTCATTGTGGTGATTCTATAAGAACTATTCAGGGGCGAAAAGCCAGTGTTCAGCAAAGGTTCAATTATCAATTGTTTGCACAGACAGTGTAACCTTAACCTGCTATATCACCCGAAGCTCTCCAAATCAAGAGTAAACTAGTAAAAGAGAAAGAAAAATCAGAAGTACCGAAACTCCATAAATATTTTTAAATGCCTTTATTGATGCAAAGCTGAAAATCAGTGCATTAAGATAAATGTCTACACTAGGCTGTGTGTAATTGTGAACCACTTTTCACTGTGATTTCCCTACTATTTACAACATAACTGCTTTAATTAACTTTGGGTAAGCAATTAACTTTGGGAACGCAGTGTCTGGTATCATGGTGTTCTGATGGTGAGCATGTTTTGTTCAATTTGGTTTCAGTCATAAACATCCTTGATACTGCAATCTGCTATCTCTGAGTCAGCCATAAAGTCTAAATTTAGTGCAGTCACTTGTGTTCTTTGGAACAGAAACACATATGAATAGCATTGCATTTCCCACAGCACTGCACTGTAAAACAAAGTCTCACATGCACTTTTACCCAGTGATTTATGCTCAAGAGTCCAAATTGTTTTCCTGTCTCAAAAAACACTTACTCTCCTCAATTGGGGTTAATGTTGTTCGTGCCACAGTCTCCAACATGTAATGATGGTATACTGTATAGCGTTTCCTGCTCAGTGTCTATGGAAAAAGGCAAAGGGGCTTGTCAGGCCATTTCTCTAATCTCCCCCCAAGTCTCTTATTTAAAAGCAAGATAGTTGTTGATGTCAGGAGCCTGAGTAAACAGCTGAAGGTGCTGTAAACTCGTGATCTCACATGGATGTCCGTCTGCTTCCTAGAAGGGACTATGTGAAATACAGATTGTTTGCATGCCTTATGCTACTCTGGTCAGTAGGGGGTTGACAGTCACAAAGAGGGGGCAGTGCTTTCTCAAGTTCTAAGTCTGACCCCCTTTTAACTCCTCACCAGGCTATTTTGAGCCCTTTGGGCACCTCAGTCTGCTGTGGGCTCAGGTAAGCAATGGGCTTATGAGCAGGCTTTGCTGTGGCAGAATTTAAACCCATCTGTGGGGAAAGGATCGGCCTGATTGATCCCACTTTGTTTGTAGCGCACATTCCATTTGTAAATCCCACGAGTTACATTTTCTCCTGTTACCATTCCTCTTTTCTCTCTTCTGCCCACACACATGCACACAAAATGGCGAAAACAAAAGTGACTGCAACAGTGAGAATCAAACACAGCAGTCAGCACTGGCACAGTCATAGTGGGCTATAAAATGCAGACTACTGTCAGTACACAAACAAAGGGACCCCTCTTCACTCAGAAAGCAATGGCTATGGATCAGCTGGAGGGAGGTCACATGCTATTAAAGCCATCATGCTGTTACTTCCACCCACAAAACCCTATTCTGTTTCTTTCTCCCTCATACACACACACACACACATACACACACACACACACAGACAGACATAGTGCAATTTCATTTGCCCACCAGTTTAGAATCAGAGTTGTGGGTATAAGCAGGCAGAAAATCACCAGCATAGGAAATATGGGAAATCACTTTGGCTTCTTTTTCATACAATGAAAGTGCTACAGGCTCAGCAGAATGATTGTAGCTGTTCCCACTGCAATTATATGTGGTTTTCTATACTCTAAATATAAACTTGCATACAGTATTTACACCCATTGCCCTACTTCCTTTTATTCAACCTCAACATTCCTGGCAAAGTCAGTTTTCAGGCCATCTCAGAAAAAAGTAGTACTGAGCAGACACTGTAGAGTATGTTGGAGCCAAGTACACCTCCTGCTTTGCCATACAAAGTTATGAAATACAGGTGTCTTTCTGTTCTAAAAACATCCTTATCCTTCTCTTTACCTTCACAACCTCTCTCATTGCTATGAAAGATTTGCAAGGCTGAGTTTGCCACACATAAAGACAAATATCTTTCAGTGATCTTGTCTCAGTGATTTTAAGGATCAGTCTTTATTTGCACAACTGGCCCAACATGTCATAACATCTGTAATGGAAGCCTTGCCTACTATTACCCTGTAATATGCACCAGTTGAATGAGAGTTGAAAAAGATTATGATAGATGTGATCCAATATTGGGTGGTGGACAAGTGGAACACCTCAGGGAGACCAGCAAGCTTGAATGCAAGGCACATACTGGAACGGTACTCTGAATTAAGTGTGTAAAAGCACCAGAGGGACTAAAGCAGAAGTCAAGCCAGGCTTGCAATTGAATTCTTAGCATCCGAGGAAACACAAGTGTATAGCACACACACACACACACACACACACACACCATCAGAAGCGGAGTGTTCCTCTGTATGGCAGTGATTCTATAAACACCAAGACATTATGTATTCATGCCACACTTCCCTAACATGAACACATTTTACTAGTCTGACTTCTGCTGGACAATACTTGACATTACAACCATGTCATTTTAGATGGTCAGACATTTGGAAAAGTCATCACCAGCAAACTCTTCGCCTCTTTTAATTCATAAATAAATGAGAAAAAATAACCAATGAGTGGAAAAAAGTGGCTATAATTACACATCTACTGTTCGGTACATTTTCATTTTACAACAGTGTTTATGCTACAATGTACAGTAATAAAAACTAAATATGAAGCCAGTCACCAATTGTGCTCTGATAGCTTTTATTTCATCTATGTACAAAGAATACAAAGCTCTCCTCCTTGAACTCTGATGGGTATTCTGTTCACACCATGTACACTTAATTAACACTACAATTTCAACATTTGCTTTTGAAACAAGAACACGCACCAGACAGGGAGAGCAGCTGCTGCCCCAGGTGAGGCCCTGAGTAAATGAAACCATGATATCTCGACTTGATCATTTCATTTGTGGTGCAGTTTCGTCCAGCTGGCTGCTTCTTTGCGTCCTTGTTTCAATCCCTTAAAAAAAACAAACAGAAGAACATGATGTTAATATAGGTCCCTCTAAACAAACAAACAAAAAAGAAGTTACAATAACAACCTCTAAAACTTCACAACACAATGTAAGAGACCGAACCTGTAAGAAAGACCTGGAAAGCCCTTTCTTAGCCACTTGGCCTCTGTTCACATACCAGGTAGTATCCTGTGTGATATCCACTCATGTACCAGGAGATGAGCACGCTGCCCAGGGCCTCATCATCGACCATATCCGGGCTCATTGGCGGAGGTGGTGGGATCATCTGAGTCAGACACATCAACAGAAGAGAGAGTGTCATCAGATGCTGGAGGCTCACGATATTTGCCGGCATCTATCCCGACCTAACATACTGACTGACTGTTTCTCAATTTACCAGCTGGATGAGTAAATGTATACTTTTTACATGCAGACTGCAGGACCTACTATCTGCTTTAGCACACCAAATTGTATGACAACATTAGTACTGCAGTACACAACAACACAAAAATGATGAATTTTTAATTTACTATGTCAGTACTTTGTAAACACTTATTTCCCAATTCAGAGGCAAATCTTGTAACCTAAAAGAACCACCTCAAGAAAAGAGAAAAAGAAGTGTCAGTAGACAGTATCATGAAAGCCGCATATCATATGGCTTCAGCTTAACCGCGGATGTCAACAGCCCTCAGCCTGAGTGCATCACCTTCTAATGTGGTGCCAAGTAAGAAGCATTTGGAAGCCAAACATCACTTCTGTGTTGAGAAAAATGTGGCCTAAGGGCACAAGATCTGCACCAGAGGCAGCAGGACTGTTTGTGGGATTGGGAGAATTGTATGATAAGGCGATGGAGGAAAGATATATGCTAGTGGAGCTTACTGAAAAGTAGACAAAACCTCACACGGCAGCGGAGACCCTTATCCTCTCCACTTGCTAAAAAAAAAATGCAGGTGCTATTTTCATGCTATTTTCCATGGACATGAACACTGGTGTGCCTTGAGATTTTGGCGTGTCCTTTGGTGCACCTTGGGCACAAAAAGTTTGAAAACCACTGGTATAAAATATATTCCAACTCACTGGTGGACCAAAAGCCATCATGGGAGGCCAGGGTGGAGGTACAGGCCCGTGACCACGAGATTGTCTGCTGCCCCCTTGCTAGAGGATACAAAAGACACAAAGCGAGTTTAAAACAACACAGTGATATCAGTATTACCAAACAGTACCCCACATCATTTTGCTTGAAAAGGAGGTTCACAGCTTAAAGAGCCTCTTCACTGACTCTACATAAAATAAGTGTAGTCTGGGGTCATTCCGTTCTTGTAATCAGAACAACCTCCACATATACAGTAGAATACATTCATTTTCATTTGATCTCTTTATGACTTTGAAGAATGTTACATCAATATAGAGGGTAGAACTATTAACAAATGTTGGTTCACTTTACTGCAATCCAGTACAAGTCCCCTGCAATAAATGCCAACTCTGAGAGTTTGTGGTTTATATTCTTTTTATTGTTCACATTGTAAACATTTTATTGTTTAAATTTACTATTACTTTAGCTGAAGTCTAAATTGGTTTAAACTCAACATTTTAATATCAAGCAATAAAGTATGAAAACAGTCTATTACCAGTTAATTTTGTTCACTGACAAATAAAGGAAGGTACAGTTTTCTTCTTACCTGTCTGAAGGAGTGCAAGGGAGGTGGACCTGGAGGAAACCCAGGGAAGCCAGGAGCCCACACAGGGGGAGGTTCTTTGTGGGCCTTGGACTTCTGGGCTTTACCAAGGGGCTGCTGTTTGTGTTGGTTTGGTGTGGTTGACCTGTCACTCTCTCCTGTTGATGATTCTGCCTCGTTTACCTTAGATGTAGAAGCACAAGTTATCTTTCTCTTTGTACTTATACCTTGGTATACAACTTCTGAAACGTATAACTTTGATGTTGAAGGAGTGGAAAAAATGTATATGCAAAAACTGAAGAAAAAAATATTTACTCATCTATAGCCAGATTAATTTACAATATGTATATGATGCAAGCACTTTACTAATTATGACTTAATCCTTGGATTAATTACATTGTGAAACAGCAATTTGTTATGTTTGCTGCATTCCAGGAATCCCTATTTAATCAAAATCAAGTGCTGTAATGAACATTTCTCTCACTTTGCCTCAGCTGACAGTAACTTCCTAGTATTTTAGCCTATAGTCAGTCTACAGTGGGGAAAACAGAACAGTTTATCAAAGATAACTGTTCTATTGCCTCATCCTATTTTACTCTCAGGCTGTTAATTTTGTTAAGTTCTCATTTTGTGGTGTGAAAGACAAAGTGCAAGACATAACCTTGTGTGAACTCTTATCACTTTATCAAACTCTATACTACCTTAGTTCACTGAGTAGAGGTTACAGACATATTGCCAAGGATGAGCTGGCTTACTGCCAGGCATTTTTAAAATGAAATATTACTCTATAGCTTGTTCATGGTAAACTTCAAAATGTGAAGTTGGTGAGGCAATAAACTGAAATGCATGTGTCAAAGGGGTTTATCTGTCTGCAAAGAACTTTTCTTATGGCTCTGAATGCACAACCTGACCTTTAGAGTAAGAAACTTCAGTCATGCTAACAAATTTTGCTGTCTGGACAAGACATCGCATTTGGCATGAGGGAATTTAATAAATAAACCACTAAACAAAATGGAATCAAGATGAAATATGCATTACATTTAACCCGTTAAATAAAATGGCAAGAATGTAAAACATTAATGTAACATGGTAAAATACATTAAATATATTGTATTCCATTACTATTAGTATTAATAAAACAATTACATTCAGTGCTTTACCTTGGTATTTGTTTCTTCACCCCCTTCAGAAATCTCTGAACACAGATCTTCAAGGTTCTGCTCCTCCTCGTTGCCGTATCCTGTATAAACAACTATACAAGTACCCCTGTTCTCATCTATGGAGGAGATGGTGGCTGCATAGAGCTGGCCATCCTCTGACCAGTAAGCACTGCACGAATCCCCAACCTGCCACTATGACACAAAATAAACTCTAATTACATGGATGAATTTAGATTAGTGAAATATGCTGTGAATATACAACACAACTACTGAACTCTTAACCTCCTTTATTTATCTGCATGTTTAGTTCCTGTTACACACCTCTTTATCTGGTGATGAATTGGGTTTTTTCCTGCTCTGGTTCTTTTTGTTGTTCTTCCGTTTTTTTCCTGGTTGGTTTTTCTTAAAGGCTTGTGGCTCATCTTCACCCTTAAGGGCAGTCTAGCAAAAAAAAAAGGGAAGAGTAGGGACTTAAGAAGCAAAAACAAACAAATGTTTAAGAGTCACATATACTCTAAAGCATATACTTTACCTTGAATGATGTAACTGCCTTGTCATAAGCCTTTATCAATGCTGTGTCATCCCATATATCTGAATCATCACTCTGAAACAGTGAACATCATATTTAGAGCCTCTGCATTTGAAAGTCTTTCACAAGCCATTCCCATTCAAAGTTGAGCAAAATATTAATAGAAAAGGATTATGGACTCTTATTGGTTATTTAATTTTATACTTTCGGCTAATTTTACAGAGCAGAACATCTTTTCTTCTGGCGACTTAACTTATGACCGAACATGTTTACTCTTTGCATCCTCTGCAACTTAGTCAAGGTGCACCATCTTTATGCAGCTAAAGATAATTCACCAGTTCTCAAAAGACACTGTATTGCAGTATAGCGATATCGCGATTAAATGAACACATCAAGCACACTGGTTTTATATTTATCGTTCCCAAACCTAGCCGAACTTAGCTGCGGTTTGTAAGTTAGCTTAGCGTCCGAGCTCACCTTCTCAACAAAATCCATCATAGCCTAGAAACCTTCACTTGTTGTCATTATACCAAGTGGCGCACATAACTAACCTGTCCAGATCCGCGTGTAAATAACACTTCTTTGCATCCATTCGCCATGTGAAAAACTGAAGATTACACCGCTAACTGTTAAACAACGAGCAACTTGCTGAACGTACGTAGGAAACGATGACGCGTTGCGTAGTGTTGACGTATATATCTTGCGACGAAATGGTTGGCTTGGCAACGGCAATAGCTAGTTACTGGCTTCATAAAGACCCATAAGCAGAAATAAGTTGCTGTATATTGTTATCAGCCATTTATTCCTTTCCTTATTCAGACAACAGCGGCGATCATAATCCTTGTTGTGTGACTTACTGAAGATGACTGAGGCGTCTCTAAGTTTGCTGGGTGCAAAAGTTGTCGTCGCAACATCCAGCGATGAGAACCACCCACCAGAAAACATCATTGACGGGTCAGTGTTGCTTCTTCTGAAATAACGTTACAGAGAAAATTAATGTCAGGTGTTCACTTTGTTCAGTGCACTCTAACCCAACCCAGAATGTTAAAATTGACGTTTGTTTGTCCCTCTCACCAGAAACACTAACACGTTTTGGATGTCCACCGGGATGTTTCCTCAGGAGTTCATCATTCGCTTACCCGAACCCACGATGGTTTCTGCGGTGACAGTGGACAGCTACAATGGTAAGGAGGTAGCGAGAGTGGCATACGTGGTTATTGTTAAATAAACTGGCTACTTTGATAAATCAGCCAAAGAATTCCCGTCTACGCTATCTGTCTATGTCCCCCATGGCATTCTGTAAACAGATCAAGTGCTGTTATCCTCAAAACTGAATTAACGGTAAGTTTGACTCTTGAGATGTGCTTACTCATTTTGGTATTATTCACACTGTAAATAGATACTAAATCCCCCGTTGTTAATGCTTAATTTATATGTCACTGTCAACATAGTCTGCATTACTTTTTCCATTATGATCAGCTGGATCAAAATTTGGATTCCAAAGTATGGAGACTCCTTCAAGCATTAAATAAAACCTCAGATTACACAGTTTCTTAAAGGAAAAATGTACCTAGTTTGTGTTTTTTCAGTGTTGTTCAACTATTGTTGAACAATTTATAGATATCTGGCTGTTTTTGTTTTGTTTTTTTGCAGTCAAGCATCTGAAAATAGAAAAGAAAATGTCACAAAATGCTTCTCAATTTGAGTTTGCTACACAGAAAGGTAAGGGGATATTTGTTTTCACATTTGTTTTAAATGTCAAAGAATTGAAATTGGGAGCAATAAGTTGACTTGTCTTTTTACAGAATTCCAAAATACAGAGGGGCACCTTCAGTCAAATGCAATTTCAGTAAGTCAAAATAACAATATTACTGATGTGTGACCCTTATGAATGCATTGAATTAAGAGATAAAACACCTGTTTCTGCTTATTTTCACTTACAGCTAAATGGAAGCAGTGCAACGGACCTTCGTTTTATCATCACCACTGGACATGACCACTTTGTTTCAGTGCACAGAGTTACTGTCCAAAATTGACACACTTGACTGTTGTGAACTGAAGCCTCATGATATTCTCTACATATGTATGCCTATATTCAGTTCTTAGGCTGTTTTGATAAGGGACACACAATGACATCTTCCTCCTTGTGGCAGACAGCTGTAACTCTGACAGGGAATCTGATAATTGAATTTCATGAATATGCAAACATTTGCATTTTTTGTAGGGAAGTTGCAATTGCACACAAAGCATGCGGTTGAAAGCTGTGGTACATTTTAAACTCTGGCCTCAAATTCTGAAATTGCCTTTCACCCATTTGCTTTGCTTATTTAACAGTTATGGGGCTTTTCATCCCACATTCAACTGTTCTTGCTAATTTCACACATTCATAGTTGGCAAAGCTTTAGCATAAAAACAGTTGGATTGTCAGGAATGGTAGAATTACTTACAATAGAAGTTTCTCTCTGTGTGAGAGATAATTAACTCATTTTGAGCAGTCAAGGTCTAAATTGCCATCAGTACAGATGATGGCAACCCCCCCCACCAGCCAGTATCTAAAGATTATTTGCGCAAAGTACTTAAGCCACCTCCTATAAATGCTGTATCCACCACACACACACACACACACACACACACACACACACACACACACACATTCGCACACAAACAAAACTCTTATCTACCTCCTTTACCATTTCAACTTGTCAGTAGTAAAGAGTTCAGCAGTGTGTGAGGACCCTTTGGGACTCCCTCCCCAATTACATTTCTGACTGTGGAGGAGCTTGGCGATTTGCTTAGGCTATGTTTGTTGTAGCTTGAGCTGCATGCAGGGCTCCGAATAAACCAATAAAAATATGAAATACATACCTGAATAACTAGCCCCCTGATATTTTAGAGTGACTAATTGCTTAGGGTTACGGCTGTCATATAGCACATTTCAGTTTATGAGTGTGTAATGAGTAATGAGGGCAAGGGAGGAGCTGATCCAGTGATATTAACTCATCTATTATTTAGTGAAAAAGAAAATTTATTATAATGTTAAAGGTGAGGGTCGAGCCAAGAAATAAAGCGCAAACACATTTCACAGGATTCATAGGAGTTCAGTTATTTTTCTGTAGCTCAAATTGCGAATGTATTACTTTTTTATGCTGTGAATGTGTAAACCAGAGATCCCTTTTTTTGCAAATGCATGCCACCATTGCTAATGAATTCAGGCCCTTTTGTGCTTGACTGTCAACTGATGAGGAGAATCACATCAGGATATTAGTGTGTTATCATGTCACAGCAGGGCAGGGTTAAATTATCACCCAGTGTCTTCTGACGGCTGCTTAACTGCTGTCCTATCACACCGAGACATCTGTTGGACCAACACTCTCTTTGTTCAGCTGAGTTTACAGTGATGAATATCTCAGAAACCTTTCTGCTACCACAGGTTGTAATTAACTGTGTGTTTTTTTTAACTTTGCTGTTAAAGCACATTAGAAATGCTGTATACATGTTGTACAAACCCCTGAAAAACACTGCAGCAAGGATGTACATATATGTTTCTTGTGTGCAATTGTGTAAGTGTAAGTGATGTGTCATAATATAGTTATTTTGAAGAAATACCTCCACCCAGCCAGCTCTGTTATTTCCTTTCATGTCAAGCCAGCAAATATGAATTTCTTGCTATTTTGTGTGGTCCTCCTTTCAGGCAGCAACAAAGCCACACGCAGTGACATTGGGCCTTAATTTGATTTCAGTTTTGATTTGGTTCAGTCAGCTTAGTTATGAGAGTAGCTGAGCTGGAAAGAGCTGCTGAGGAAAGAAACATTCAAAAGGCCGGAATTAGATGATTAGACGGAAGAGGAAAACAATCTTCTCATTATTTAAGTCCAAGAAGAGTGGAGAATGATAATGAAGGATTGACAAGACAGCTTTGAATAAATATCAACAGCATTCATATTTATTCCTGAGTCTAAAAGCAACATTTCCTTGTGAAGTTGGGTAGTAAATAGAGTTTTTTTAACAAACTTTTTTTCCTCTAAATCCAAAACGTCTGTTGCATTGAGTTGTATGTTCCATTCTGCCGTGGCCTGCTTTGCTGGATCTTTTTGCTACTTACCTATTTGATCACTTTCACTTGATTTGGAGAGCTGGTGGTTACAGCATCTCATCTGCCTCTAAATCTCTGCTGCCCTACCGTGGAAATGTGATGTAATGATGGGCAGCTGAGCAATCTCAGCACCTTCATTGCCTCATTCTTGACCAGAGTAGTGTGTGCGTATACTTCTGCCTGGTACTTTGTGTGAATCTCTGAGGATTGAGTAGGGTAGTAGTAGTTAACCTTTGGCTTCACACATTACTTTGTCCTTGTGGGAAGTGAAACAGCTTCAGAATGGTAGAGCCAAATAGCCAGGGCTGCTGCTAAGAAGGAGTGCTTGTCTCCAAGTGGAGCAGTGCCAGCTAACTCTCACAAAGTTGGATGAACAATGGAGGGAGAAAGATTTACTGGGAGATCACCCTCTTTTCCTTTGTTTATCTCTTACAGTATTTGCTATTATTGGACACTATCCACTCCCCTTTAATCTCCCTCTCTCTAAACACAGACAAAACACAAAGTGAGTCCCCAAAATTAGCATTTGCCCTTGGTATCCGTCAGAGGTGTTCTCTAATATAGACTGTAAAGTATTGTGTTCATTTCTGTATGAAGAATTCACACTACATATTGATACAATAATAATTTATGGGTGAAAAAGCATGACAGCACTTGTAATTTGAAGTATTTATTTTTTACATTGAAAAATATTCACATCATAAGACGTGTGTTGTTTCAAAATGACTCAAAAATGGTTTAAACTGAGTTCTATGCACAAACCTCTTGTGGATACATAGGTCCAAGAACATTAAGGTTTAGAAAACTAGGCTCATAATAGACAATATATTACTCATTTTCAGTGCTTGAAGGGACAGACGTAAAGTCACAATCATACTCATTTTGTGTTACCACCAGACATTAATCATGAAACAGATGAGTCAGCTATTATCTAGCCTGTACTGATTAAGAACTAATGGCCTAAATGTTGATTAAACTACGAAACTCTGTGTGATTTGACAAATAAAAAAAAAAAAAAAAAAAATTTTCATTTGAACATTAAATAACTTATTGTAAACAAGTAATAACTGTGGCCTGGACACAAAATATGCTAGATTATGCACATTCTATTAAATCACCATTGTGAAACATTAATTAGCAGTGCATGAGCTCAAGTTGCCATGATGCTGCGTGCAACGCTGAAATCCATATGTATCTGTGGTGAAACAGTCAAATGATAATGTCAATTTTACTGAAAGCATGTGTGTAAATGCTCCCATCAAATCTCTGTGGCAATAACATTGTCATATGTTTGTAACCCTGAGCAGTAGGCGATGTCCATGCCTAGCTCTGTCCGGCTCTCCAGTTCAGTGGTCAGTTCCTTTAGGATCCTCTCCAGGTCCTGGTTCTTCTTGTGCACCTGCAAGTAATTGATCTGGAGCTGCTTCTGGTACTTGATGACCCTTTTTTTCTCCTTGTTCCACGTCTGCCTCTCTTGCTCAAAGCTGTTGGCCAGCCTCTCCTGAGCATCCTTCTCCTCCCTGAGCTGTTGTTTCAGCATCTCCACTTCTCTCTGGAGTGATTCTGTGGAGATGTGTTCCCTGTTCTCCTTCCCTTGGCCCTGGGCAGGGGTATCGGAGCCCTGAATTTGTTTTTCCAAGAGCTGGGTTTGAGCATGAGCCTTAGGATGCAAACTGTGATGCAGCCTCTGCTCTTTAGCTGTGGCCAGATCCTGTTTCATTCCCTGAATGTCTTTCTCCAGCTTGCCCACTTTCTCTCTCAATAAATCAGCCTCATTCTTCTTGCGCTGGAGTTCATTTTGGCACACCTGAAGATGGATATAGGCAGCAATTGAGAAGATTACTGTGAGTGATATAAGAGGTCTAATCATGTGAATGTTATCAAGACTGTAATTATAGAACTATGGAATTATAGTCTGCTGAAACAGAGATACTGAAAGCAGTCTGAAGGCCACAGTCAGGTCGAACTTTCTTCTTATTGGCACTGTGTGGGCATTTTGTCCACGTTCTTATTTGAACTCCATTGTACAATGAATTGCTACTGAGTCATCAGCAAACTAACCTCAGCCTCTCTGGTGCGAGCGTGGAGTTTGTCCTCATGGTCTTTATTCTGTTTTTCAAGCATCTCCATTTTAGCTGTGCTTTCCTTCAGCGATGCCCTGAGGCTGACTATCTCGTTTAGCTTGAGGCTGACATCTGCTTGGCAGTCTCTCAGTTGCTGCTTCAACAATGAGATCTCTCCTGTCTTCTGGCACACCTACATTTGGACAGTTAAGAAGATGAGCAGTGAAATATTGTCTGCAATATGTACTGCACTGGGCAGTTAAAGAAAAAATAAACCTAACCTTATACTGTTACAAATCCCCTGTTGATAATGTTTACTTTAATTCTGAAATACAATATTTCTCTTAACTTAACCTCATATGTGTTTTACAGTTATAAATTGTGTTCATTTTCCACAATGACAGCACCTATAATTGGTTTTAAATGCTAATTGTGCAGTCTCATAAAAGTCTGTAAAATTAACACAAAATCAAATTCTGATTAATTGTAATAGACATAGCGTATTAATAAAAGAATCAGCGATTAACATTCATCAGGAGCCATTTTTCTAGCCACCTGCCAAATGTAAGTTCAATCTTTGCTCTATTTTTAGCTCTGTTTTTGGTCTCCAGCTCCTGAGGAAAATATCTGGCTCTTTAGTGGGTAAATACCCCATGTTCACCAGATTAGTTTGCCTGCCGTCGGTGCTGGGCAGGTAGCATACATTTGCTTTATCAGAGCTTGTTTTCTGAAAAGAAAACAGGGTTGATAAGAGTGATGAGACTGAACCAAAGCAATAAAGTTGCCAGCTGTAAAAACCAAAACAAAAAAAAGATGAAAGGTGCTGAAAACCTCCCTAGAGCTGAGCAGAACTGCAGAGTTGGTGATAATTTTCAAATTATCACCTCTTTCACATTTAGTCATTTGATTCATTGTTTATATGAAAAATATCAATTAGCTCATCTCATAAATTCTCAGCAGCAATAACTATATGGGTGAAGAGAGTTGCAGTGATAACAAAGCAAGAGAATTTTGATTTAAAAATAAATGTGTTAAAAATAATAACCGAAAAAATGAAAATGAAGAAGCTGGTCTTTCTGACTTTTTTATGATCATGGTAGATTATTGTTGTTTATGAATCATGATCCAAATGGTGGATTTTTCTTCTAGTGATGGAAGAACATGATGATCCTACACCTCATCAGAGTTTGAGGCTGTTGTGCCAGATTGTGTTGAAAGCTACGTGGTTTCAATCTCAACGTTTTTAACACATAGCCTATGACTCATGACTCACCTCCCACTGAGTTTCTTCAAGTGTCGGAACCAACTGTGTGCTCTCCTTTTCATAAGACCTCAGTCTGAGCGCAACAAGATCCTTTTCTTGAGTTAGCTTGAAGACACCTTCCTGAAGCTTCTGCTTCTCTGCCTGTTCAAATCAAATCTTAGTTGATTTATAGATTATAAATTTAATTTCAGTGATGTGATATTTAACATAAGAGGAGGGTAGGCTGACCTGGAGCTGGCTGACCTGGAGTTGGAGTGCTTGCTGGTTTTTTGCAGCCATTTGGGATACTTGTCGTAGTTTTGTGGAGCATCGCTGCTTCAGCCCCTCCATTTCCTCAGCGCAGTACCTTTGTCTGTCAACAAACAGCTGGCAGGTGTCTGCTTCCTTTTCCTCAAAACTCACCTAATATAAGATGATGAAAGTGAAATTTAAAAAAAAGAGTTGTACAGTCTGACTACAGTTGTCTGTGTGTGTGTGTGCGTGGATGTGCTGATCTTGATTAAGAGCACATGTTGTTTTTCTTCTATATGACAGCTTGGCACCTGTAGCTCCTGCAGTTCACTCTCTCTCTCCAGCAGTCTTTGTTCCAAATGTTCAATCAGGGACTCATCTGTAGTAATGGGAGACCGAATCCCACCTGCAGTTTCAGAGAGCGGGCTCGGCTCATCTGCAGAAAGTGGGGTGCCAGCATCCCATTTAGCCTTAGGTGCCACCCCAGCACCATTTAAAGCAGGCCTGTAGCTACAGTCAAGGTTTGAACTGTTCCCACTGACCCATGGAGGCAAATTGGGTTGTTCTTTCCTGCTGGGGCTGTTCACAGGAGCTGAGCTGCCATTATTGTGACTGACAGGGCCTATGTGAGCACTCAGGCTGCCACTGGTGCTATGGGTGGGCAGGCTTGACATAGAGTTTTGTCCAGAATCAGAGAGAGTTCCTGAAAGAAAGAGAGATGATGTTGTACTTTATAATAATATGTCATTCAACTTCAATAATCTCATTTTAAGGTAAACATTTATCAGTACAATAGAGATAAAGACCTGAGAAGGTGTCTTGCTTGCGTCTAATGTCTGAGCTCCTTGCTTTCTCCAGAGGACAAAGGATGTGGTTCAGGCTGTTGTGGCCTGTCTCTGTGGAAGGCATTCTCCCTGGAATCATGGGATTGAAGGCAGTGGAACGGACCAATGACTTCTCGACAGAGGTCTAGAAGAGTGAAATGACACACAGTAAGGAGTGCTCTTCCCTGTTTTTGTTTTTACATTCAGTGGCTCCTCTTAGCTGACAGCAAAGCAAAAAGCAGATCCTCTTGTACTGTCAGGGTGAGTACAAAGAGCCAAGGATGAGTCACATTCTGGAACTTGCAAATCATAATTACTGGTTTTCACAGAGAGAAATATCGTCACATTCTGGAAGTCCGTGCAAATGAAAGAGATCTTTTTTTTCTATATCATGTCTTTTGGTATTTGAAATAAAACCACTGAAGCATGCAGAATTGCTGCACTACATGCTGACAGTATTAAAAGCCACACAGCAGTAGTTGCAAGTAAAGTGCACTAGATTGTCATAAAAGAGAAAACTCATTTCAAAGATGAACTTCTATTTCACATCTGCTGTCCAAGAGCATCACAACTGGTTCCTCCCCTCCTTTCTGTCCTCTTCTCTTCCCCTCTGCATCCCACATCCCTCCCCCATGGGCTGTCTGAGGGAAGAATAATAGCCTTTCTCTGTGATATTAATAAAATGAGCTACTGCTGAAGTGTAAGAGCTAAAGCTTGTGAGCTCAGCATTCCTTCTCACTGACTTCACGACTGGGATGCCTTTCCTCATTTTTTTCATCCCTTAGTATCCCTCAAGCTCTTTTTGGCCCTTGATCTCTCTCTCTCTCTTCTCCTTTTTTTCTGCTTTTTCTCTTACAAAGCTGCTTCCTATTCGTCTTTTTCACTCCTCTTGCCCCTGAGGAATAAAGACCTATTGAAGGAGACTCAGCTTGCATACGTATTCATGCACAGAAATGACTTCTCTCAGAGGAGCAAAGCATTCTTAGGTCATTAATCTGGGAGGGGCTGATTAATAAGCTGGGAAGGTTCAATACAGGTTATGATGAATGGTTGCTACTTATTAAACTACCTGCTGTGCATGTTTTATACTCAGCAGTGCTGCGAGGGTTTCAATGTCTGTTGTAGTTACAAAGTATGACTTCTTAAGGTTGTAAGAATAACCATAGCAACAGTTCCAGTCAAGTAAAGCACAGCAAAGCAACATTTTATGAGGCTATGACAGGAGTTAGATAAGAAGATTTATTACACTCTTATGTCTAAAATGCTAAATATGAAGATACTGCCAGCAGCACGTTAGCTTAGTTTAGCATAAAGACTACAAACAGGGCTCTGTCTAAAGGCAACAAAATGTATCTATCCAAATCTCTAAAGCTCATTAATTAGCATTCTGTTTGTTTATTAGGTTAAAAAATCAAAGTCTAAAATTGACAAGTTATCATTTCACAAGTGGGTTATGTGCCAGACTATTTCACTAGGAGCAGTAACTCCCAAGAGACTTTACTAATTGCCTGGCAGTTGCTCTCTGTTAACAAATACTCAGGCCCACAACCCCAGATAAAATGTAGAATTGTTGTTTTTACTCTTTCAGTATAAACAAATGATATATTGCAATTTTTGTAACCTCCTGTTCTCCTGTTTCCAGTATTTATGCTTAGTTAAGGTAGCTCGCTGCTGGCCCCAGCTATGTTTACTGTACAGATGTCTTGGCAACAAAGCATATACTGTAAAGATGTTTTCCAAAAATGTTAAACTATTCCTTTAAAATTAAAATTTTTAATAAAGCCCGAGAAAATGAAAATGAACTCACCCTTTCAGTCATGTTCTCTGACAGTTTTGGTTGCAGTTGCCCATCTGATTCTCCATCTCTGTTTCCTCGGTCCTCCATCAACCCCCCCGTGTGGTACACTGGCCTTGGTTTATGGCTCACCTTGTGTGATACAGGGTGAACATTTTACTCACATATATATATATATATATATATATATATATATATATAT